ATGAGATACTATCTCACAATTATGAGATACAAGTTTTATTTATTTTTTTATCAGGGTGGCGGAAATGGGCTTCCATAATTTCGATTCAATCCTCTTACCAAGTAAAATTTGGCAGAAATTTTTTGACTTAACTTGAGTTAAAGTTTGAGACAATAATCTTACACATTCTGAAAACAAGATTATTATTCTTACACAATCAGTTTTTGTTTAGTAAATCAGTCTCAAAACAAGATCAAAAGGACTTTTTGGCTGATATAAGATTTTAAAACTTGGTTAGGTGGACAKTTTTYACAGTGACACAGTTCTGCTCAATTCTAGTTTCCCTTCTCTGTTCCGTCTGGGATTTCTCACATAAAGTATTTCTTTGCTAGAATTTCAACCAGGCCAATCAGCGAACACAAGGAGGAGTTATGAGCGACGACGATGATTTTCTGTGTCGTTTTAGTCTGCCTATACAGTAGTTTAGCTATGAGAGCGGAGTGAGTGAATAAAGGCAGTCTGCATTGACAAGGCTTCCATATCGAATTAAATTTGTCTCACAAAGCCAGCAGCACTCATTTACAGCTGTCTTGTTTGGCTCAAATTTCTCTCCTCCTAGTAGGGGATGATTGTTTACAGCGCTTAGCTTCTTAGCTTAGCTTCCGTCACAGTCAAGCTGGCGCGCTGCATACATCACGGACAACCRTTAGCGATTGGGTGAATCTTATCCAATCGTTTCAAACTTCAACAGAGACCACGCCTCCAGCAAACCATCGCTTCTCAACAGCAAAGCGTAGAACAAGGGGCTGGTTTTTACTAGGCTAGCCCATGACTGAATCACAAAATAACAAGCATGTTCCCCTGTTTTTTAACTTAATGATCAACATTGTATTACATATGATTATAATGTTTTATAGTTATAGTTCAGAAAGTTTTTAAAGATTGGCATTACCTGTAAAGAACCCCACCTTGGCCAAACTGTAGCAACAAATCTGCGTCATGCTTCAACACTGTTCATTCTTGCTCAAAACTTTYTTTTYCCATTTTATTTCTGATTAGTCAGCCTTTTTATAAACGTCTGTGGAATCCCTCAGAAGTCATCCTTCAGAGCTTCTCTGTGCTCTGATAATAAATGAGTTTTACTGCAGTTTCAGACAGCTTGATGGAGCTTAGCTAGATTACTACAACCAACCAAAATACTTGTGATTTCTGACACTTCAAATCAGCCTTTTTCTCATCCTAACCTGTTCTGTAATGTAATATCATGGTGCTCTTTGTTGTTTTGTAACTGTATAACTTCTCATCCTGGCTTCATTTTTCATTGCTGTGGTCAAATATTTAAAAGATATGAGGGAAATAATTGGGTTTGCTAGATTCATGCAAAGAACAACTGCAGAATMTTTGATTTCAAGCATGAAAAGTTGAATCACGCTGAGAGTAAAAGTTACAGCTAAAAAAACACACACACATTGCTTTTCAATATTATTGTCTTTTATGGTTCACCAGATAAATTCATTCATTTGCATCCTCCGAGCAGTGCATCACATCTTCTCCTGTTTGCTTTGCCCACCCCCCCCCCCTTTCCCATGTCTTTCCCCACTTCTCAGCATTTCTCAGCACACACCATTGATTATTGGCAGGAAACCTGTACTTGCAGAGGAAGTACCCCATTCACCCCTTGAATGCAACCAGATGAAGAAAAAAAATACATTTAAAAATCCAGACCACAAATGAAGTGTTAAGCGAAATAAACAATGCGTAGTCTGCGCGGCGCTGAAAGACGCTAGCGGCAAAGGTGGGTTTCTTTGCAGGTCCGGCAGAAGTGTGGTCGCAGCGGGTGGTGGGTGGTGGGTGGGGTGGTTTATGGTTACAAGGCCTCTCCTGCTGGGGCAACTGTGCAAACAACAGCAGCTTTACAAGTCGGCTGTACAATGTACAGGCGCAGCAGCTGAAAAATGTGACTTTTTTTAAACAACAAGCTTCCATACATCTTTAGGTCATGTATTTAAGACACAAACAGGAAACTTGAAATTCCCCCCAAGCAGTCAGAGTTTAGTTCATTTAATGTTTTAAATGTCTTTAGGTGCTAAAGTTGTTTCATTGATGTTGCACCAAATTCATTTTGTTCTGCAGATTGTTAGATCATATGAATGTAATTACAGTTATGTGTACTTACTAGATTCTGTATAAGGGGCTGGTAACTATCACTGTACCACAAAAGGGATACAAAACTGATGCTGATATTAACAACTATTGCTTTAACYACGACTCTGTGAGTCATCATCAGACCACAGGAAACTGCCGGCTTCCTCTGCAGTCTTGCCAGACATCGGTTATGTAACATTTTTTGCAGGGTTTTATAAAATGCAACATCAGCTACATGCATGAGACAATCATACCAGTCATCCACTTAATGCCCAGCTGGACTTTATAAGCAGATGAAGAAAATGTTTACTGTTAAAGTGCCTATGGCATAAATTTTGTTTGTAACAAATATGAATGCATTTTTTTGAAAGATAACATTGATTACAAAAAAAATATTGCATCACTGAGATGAACAGTTGTTGAGATATCCGCGTGTGAATTAACAGGAAGTGATGACAAAGGGGAATGTCTGAATGTAAAGAGTGTAGCTACAGTGGCTGACAACAAAGAAAGTAGAGAATAATTTGACATTTCTTTGGATTATTTTAAGTCACTGAGAGAGATGACAGAGTCAGAGATCAAATAGTGTTTCAATGAACAAAAAAACGTGAAGTTCCTTAGAGTTTCCCTTTGATGTCACTTCCTGTTTCACTTTTGCTGAGCCAAATTCAAAGGGAAATCTGCTATTATGTGACATAATGGGTAAAATCATGCATATTATGCCATGTTTTTATATACAAAGATTTTATCTTAGACTTTTTGTRTTTGAAGTATAAACATGTCACAGGCRCTTTAATTTGTTGCTTGTGGTGGAACTTACAGAAACAGTGAGGGAGAATTATTACCAGATGACATTTCATTGAGAATKAGCTAAAACGCAGAGAGCAACGTGTGAAAGGAAGAAAATTTTGACACCTTTTACTGTGATATCACTCCACCACACACCACGCTAATTGATTTTCCATCAGATGGGTCATCCTGCGCTGAAAATGAATGAAAACGTGTCCAATCACTAGAACACAGTGTTCTTCTGTGGAATCCCAGCTGTATTATTCTAACATTTTATACAGTAGAACACTTTCCATTTCCAGAATGCCCCCACCATAAATTTATATGAGTCCTTAGTTCCCAGCTTGATTTAGGATTGCGAATCAGAGAGCAAAGTGCAAGAAAAGCATTCTTCCACTTTGACATTTGGGAAGTATCCTGAAATGAATGCATTTTTTTTTCACATTTACCTGCATTTTAAGGGATAAAACCATGAAGATCATGCCCACTGACTCCTAAGAATAAAGTCCAAACCCTCTACAATCACAGCAACGCAACAAGAAAATCTTGCAGTTAGTTTAGAGATGAACAGAGCAACTCCTGCTTATCTTATATAATCTTTAAAGATGAAGTTTTTTGTCTTTTTCATGTGGACAGGAGTGGGACACAGAGCTGGAGCGTACAGCAGAGGAGTGGGCAGAGACCTGTCTGTGGGAGCATGGTCCTGAGGGTTTGCTCCCACAGATCGGGCAAAACCTGGGCGCCCACTGGGGAAGGTAAGCAATCACTGCTGTCCCATTTTTCCAAGTGAACTTTTATCTTATTAAACACTTAAATTAGATGCCTGTTTATGAATAGCTTAACTTTTTATGACTTTCCTTAAATAAATGCATTTGCCTGCTGCTTTGCGTGTTTTAACCCAAAATGTGGCTTGATTTGCAAGGGCTCAGTTTATGAGCTCAGCAACACTAAATCTGAGCTCAACATCTGGAAAACTGGTCACGTTTTAGCCATTTTAGTGTGTGCTAAGATCATTTAGCTGGGTTGTGTCCAAAGGTTAATGAGCTGTAGGTGGTATAGATGGACGCATAAGTATAGACACAGTACAGACTCCTGCATGTTGCGTTTGCCTGTTTGATCTCTTGATTCAACTAGTGCTTCCTACAAGACAGTGCGTTCTACATTTAATTAATTCCACTCAAGATGTGGGCTTGGTTTTAATTAGAATAATCACCAACACCTGGTTCCAGATCAGTGCCCTTGGCTACTGAAAAGAGACTCTTTGTGAAAAACATAAAAACAGTTTAAATGAGTGTGTTTATCAGTGGATGCAGCAAAATTATGGTTTTCTAATAAGGCCTCTAACTAGTGGTTCCTATGTTTACATTCAAAAGTATGAGACAAAAAAATAGGTTTTAATAATCATAGTCAAACACCAACAGGAGTGTCTAACTCGTTTTCACAGAAGGACACACGAGCATCGTGGTGGCCTTCAAAAGGGCAGTTGTATTTAACTTTGACCAACATAAAATATAATGTTCTCTGTCTCGTTGCTGTTTTAGCACTGCCAATAAAGAATAACTGAGCTCTTTTTGGTATTTCATGCATAGAAATAATGTTTTAACACATCCTCTTGTAAGAATATTTCGTGTTCGTTAACTGAAATCGTGACAAAACCACATGAATGTTAGATTAAAATGTGAAGAGAAAGGAATCATACAACCCCAGCTCTGGTTCTGAGCGAAGCTTTTATTGCTTAAGGCTGAAGCAAGCAGCGCTGCCTGAAACCGGAAGTTCCGGTCTTTAAATACAGGGATCTTCAGTGCCTGGTACGCCCACTACAGGCCTACGGCTGAATCGCAGGCAACTCGTACAGAAAATATCTTTCCTAATGAATTTATAACAGTTTATCTATGTGTTGTCATGATGTTTTGGGCAACTAAATCTATTTTAATCAGGACGTTAGAATAGTCAAATAATAGTTTATAATAGTCAAGCCTTAAAAAGGAAACTAAGACAAATGGTGTGGTGCTTCAAATCAGTATCTAACTGACTAATAAATTCCTTCACTCTTATAAACACTGAGAAGTACTAAATGAACAMCTGACTGAATGTGAAATAAACAAAACAGAAATACCATTAAAAGTAAAATTAAGAGTGTTTTTACTCACTGCAGAGTTGTGGTGAGTAGCTGCTGTCTTGGATTCTGAACTCTCCCACTTTCCAACAAGGARTTCCCCTTGGGGTGATGTTCTAATGTAAATTTGCAACTTGTTAGTAGGACATTCCCACTCCCCGCTGGGCTGAAGCTAAAGTAGCTGGCAAAAATACAGTGAAATGGAGATTTTAGACAGCAAAATTTGCCRCTTTTGAACTCTGTTCAACTCAACCTACTGGTGGGATGACATTTTGTGGATAAAATATTCARCATGAATTRTGGCTGGGGAGATGCAGTTTATGGCCARTGCTGGCTTTAAAGTAGCATRCGCTTATTTTAAGACATTAAAATGAAGCTCTCACGGACCATGAATTTGACACATGTRACCTACAAGAAAAACTTGTTTAAAACTCTGTTGTTGCACCAGATATCGTCCACCGACATCTCACGTCCAGGCCTGGTATGATGAGGTGAAGGATTACTCTTTCCCTTACCCTCAAGAGTGTAATCCCTACTGCCCGTTCAGGTGCTCTGGACCAGTTTGTACACATTACACACAGGTACATACACAAGKACTAGCCGTTTTAAGCAAGATATCACTGATTTATGTGACATTTGTGTYAGTAAATTGCGTTTTGTCATTCTTTTACAGCTGGTTTGGGCCACCAGCAGCCGAATAGGCTGTGCCGTCAACTTGTGCTACAACATGAATGTGTGGGGGCAGATTTGGGCCAAAGCTGTGTATCTTGTTTGCAATTATTCACCAAAGTAAGCAAACATGAAGCATAKCAGGGCCATAAAATCATAAATAGCWAAAATATGTAAATATGGTTATTATATTTAAAAATAACAGTTTGTGTCAARTAAACCTGGCTTGTTTTGTCACCTGATTAGGGGGAACTGGTGGGGTCAYGCCCCTTACAAACACGGGACCCCATGCTCTGCTTGTCCTCCGAGCTACGGAGGAGGCTGCAAGGACAATCTTTGCTACAAAGGTATGAAAGAGCGATACACTCCAAGAAGTTTTTAAAAAAAAGCCTGCTCACCATTCCTTGTTTTTGTATCTTTAGTTGAAGATGACAGGTCCAACCGTCTGCAAGAGGAAACAGAAGAGAACAACTTCATTGAGCCAGAGGCCCCTCGTGGTACGAAGCCCTGGTCCCGGGCTTCCAAGCCTGAACCTCCTGGCCTCCCTCCCCCAACCACCRAGCCCCCCACAGAGGACCTGCAGAACGAAGTGGTCAACACACAGCAGATGTGTAAGCTGCCATCTTAACTGTTTGTTCTGGGTCTAGTTTCCTTGAAATTGAGGGGGCTCAGAATTAGGTTTATAGGTGTGGGACTGCCAGAGAAGTACAGTACACTGAGATGTACAAAAAACGTGCTTTTTAAAACTGGTTTAGAACTAGGGGTGTAAGAAAATATYGATACACTGAAATATCGCAATATTTAATTTCCTGATACTGTATCGATATTTTAAAGCCCTGCATCGATTTTTAATCAAGGTTTAAAATGTCAACTTTCCTGCCAGCCGTTCATTTTTATGTTGTAGTTCAGCCTCTGACCGCTAGTTGGCAGCAGTGAGCCAGCCATTTGGCTCCTCTACCTCTTGAGCCCCAGAGAGTAAGGGTAGCATTAGCATTGTAAGTAAACATTAGCTTCATGCTCTGATAGCTGAATCTGAGCGGAAAAGACCAACACCCTCTGCCTTCTAAGCTGAGGTAAGGTTACAAACAGTTACTTATTTGTCAGAATGTCTGTATTTTAAACTAAATTAAGTGTCTCGTACGCTCTTTTTTCCAACTTTAGTCAGCCTTCACGTTACAGAAAGCTAGCGCATGTCTATGTATTAGAATTTTCTGAGACAATAAATTTTGGTTTTTCATTTTTTTCCAGTAAGAGGTTTTTATTTAATAGAATTTTTGGACCAAAAAAAAAATCGCAATATATCACCTTGCTTAAAGTATCACAATATATCGGGATATATCGTATCGTGATCTATCTGTCGTGATATGTATCATATCGCCAAATTCTTGCCAATACACAGCCCTATTTGAACCAAATAAATCAAGATGACTTGCCTGCTYAGAGTTGAGGAAGCAATTACACATAAAAAACCCTTAAACTCTGACAGAACTGTGTTCTTTTCAGTTTTATCRTAAGTTGCCTCGCTGCTCTGTAGCTTTTATTCGTCATTTCTCTGATCAGTACTGACAGTTTCTGAACCCTTTGTAAAATTGCAAGTCATTCTTTAGGGGAGGGTGGGGAGCTTTATTTTAGCGTGATCCTTTTGGTTGCCTGAGGAGTGTTGAGGAGTTGTGTGTGTTTTATTTTTTTAATGGCCTCCTCTCTGCGGTAAGGAGCATGTGAGTGTAAGATGAGTCATTTCCTTTAGTATTTGCTGACCACCCTGAACTTCGCTTCAGAAATTTTTGTATTTTGGTCCTTGAAGCGTTGTTACAATGTCTYCCTTGGGTTTTGCTCAGCCTGGGCTTTTTCCGTAGCTGTACTGATCTGCATCAGACCTGCGGSCTCATATAATATGTGCTTATTCCTGCAGAAACGCTCACTTACAGGCTCTCTGTCTTTATGTGTTTCAGCTCAGTTTGTAACCTGTGACACCAAGTTACGAGATCAGTGTAAAGGAACAACTTGTAATAGGTACAATGATGACGAAACATTAAAAAAAAGCATCACAATATGAAAACCGATACAGTCTGTTTAAGGATGGTTGTTTTTGCTTTAATCAACAGATACGAATGTCCAGCTGRATGCCTGGATGCAAAAGGAAAAGTCATTGGAACAGTATTCTATGAAATGGTAGGTAAACAGGTTAACAGTATTTCAGATTACGTTGATTAGAAAGCCATAATCATCACAATGTAGCACAATCCTACAGCATCCAGTGTTGTGCAGAAGTGCAGCTGCTGTACGTGTCAAACTTTTCAGCTGCTGAGTCAGCAGAATGAACACGATGTTGTCTATGAAATGTCCTTTCTGCAGCAGTCGAGCGTGTGCAGAGCTGGTCTACATGCTGGTGTCATCAATAATGATGGAGGGTGGCTGGATGTGACAAGACAAGGCAGAAAAGACTTTTTCATCCGATCCGATAAGAATGGAGTTGAGTCACTTGGGTAAGACCGTAACTGTAGAAACAATGCCAAAAATAATTTAATAAATAAAATAAAATAGAATCTGATGTTTTTGTTTGTTTCCACTTGACAGAAAATACAAAAGTGCGAACTCCTTTACAGTTTCCAGAGTGGCAGGTCAGTTTGACAGTATGGTGCTTGTGAAATGCTACATTTAAAACACAATGCTCTATATGCTGCAGCTGCTTTTTGTGGATTTATTTCTTGCAGTTCAAGCCGTCACATGTGACACCACAGTTTTACAGCTGTGTCCCTATGAAAAACCTACAAGACATTGTCCAAGGTGAGGACTTTGACTTAATGTCGTTTGCTCCGAGAGTCAGTCATCTCCAACTTTTCCCAGTTGAAATAGTCAAACTGTTGTTGTTGTTTTTTTTTTGTTTAGGTTATACTGCCCAAGGAACTGTTTAGAAGAGAACCCTCATGTGTCCAAAGTCTTTGGTACCAGAATATATTCTGATGTAAGTTTCAATTTTTATTATGTTGTTTTAAGCTGGACTCATAAAAACACTTTTTCACATACATTTTTAACAAAACACGATTCTTCTCTTCTACATTCACACCTGCAGAAGTCCAGTATCTGCCGAGCAGCCGTCCACGCTGGAGTCATCAGTAACCGTGTGGGTGGATACATAGATGTGATGCCAGTGGACAAACGGAGACACTACATCGCCTCGTATCAAAATGGCATTTCCTCTGACAGGTAAGGTGTATAGTGTGTCTGCATGTGTTGCAGAAATAAAGATTTAAAAACATCAAATAAAATCTAACAGTTCATGAGGTTTCTGTTCTCACCTTTTTGAAGTGCTGCAGCAGAGGATTTCTTTTTTCAGGTTGAGAAATCTTTTTTTCCCTCCTTGTTACTCTAATCTTCAAGATGCAAACAGTTCATTACATCACTTACACAGTGTGCCTCAGATGATAATTAACATGCCTCTAGTTAAAAATAATTGCTTTGCAATTAGTATTGAGAAGAGTGTATCCTTACGTAGCTCTGGGAATGGTTTTTCTTTTCAAAGTAATCACTAAGATGTTGATGGTGAGAGAAGGAGACAACCTGAAAATAAATCTGTAAGTAGAGCATTTCATCATCAGCATACGTGAAAATGCTTGACTGTATCAAACAGCTATTTCTTCATTCAAAGAAGACATCAGTCCTTCCTGTTCACATTAAAATCATTCCATTGGAGTCTTTAATGCTTTTGTCTGAAATCCTTATTCTAACTTCACCAGCCTCTCTTTCACCCCTTTTCTGATGTGTGTGTCTCAAAGTAGCTTGTTTTGTTACTGTTCCTTTAAGAAACCCCGCCCCGCTCCGGCTTCCAGACCGGTCCACTCCGGTTTCAGAGAAGGCGGGGTTACATTTAATTAAAKGATGTCAACAACAGAAGACTTGAAGAATATGTTGGAGCCTGAGTTTGACCCAGAACGAGAGAAGAATTAAGATCTTATTAGGCAGTTCMATCGCACATATTAGACCTAATAGACTCAGAAAATGTCATAGAAAATAGAAAAAACTCAACAGGCTGAAAAATATGACCCAAACAGAAGATAAGGATATCTTTACAGCACCAAGAGAGACTAAATTAAAGTTTTCTGCACTCTTAGGGACTCCAAGTACACAACRAAAATGTATTTRACATCTAAAAAGGTGGATTTTGCATATTTCCCCTTTAAAAGTAAAATTCTYTCCCAAGTACTATGTGCTAGGACACAGCAAAAAAACAAGAATTGTGGAGGGGGAGTCGAATAGCTATCACCAGCTTCTAAAAAAAATTAAATGGCATCTTTTTTTTCTTTATCCTCCTACATAGAAGGCGACCTATGACCTGTTGTGGTCAAAGGTTTTCTATTGCTAGTGTTTCATWGTGGGTGCAACTCCTACATTGGTTTGACACATCCTAACCAGAAAATCTTAAATATTTAAGGCGGTTTAAACAAATTATTTTTCAGTTTTGAAGAGTCAAATCAGGCCTTTTTTTTTATCCTGCCGATGTAACAGGGAGACTCAGAATTTAACCTGTTTTCACGGGACATTTGCACGTTCTCCATTCTCTTATCTGTCTTCATTAAATTTGTCATTTTGCTGAGATGATTCAGTTTCCTGTTTTTTAGGTCTCTGTTCACTTCACAAGAGGTCTGTCTTTGTGAATTAAAACCCAGGTTTTCCAATGTTTACATAAAAGTGTGTGATTTATCTGTTTTTTCTCTGGGCTTCACCCTTTCTCTGCCTCCGACCATCTGTCTGAATGTGTCCATCATCGGTACTGGTTCGCTAAAGACAGGGACATGTTCTGCACGTGCTGGACCCAGATGGGATCTTATACTTGTCTCTGTTTTCTTCCCCGCAGCCTTCAGAATCCTCCAGGAGGGAAGGCGTTCCGGGTCTTCGCTGTGATTTGAGCAGCTTGCAGGGCGCTTTCACCAAACCTAAAGCACTCTTGGAGCTTTTGAAAAGACAGTAATGAAGCCAATCTGTGGAAATCAATGACTGAAATCGTTCAGTCCCTGCCACACTTCAGGGGTCGGAGGTCTTCACCGTGACAGCATTAAGCCAGCAAGGAAAACTAAAAGCTGCCTTTCTCACTCTCACATATTTGTTTTTTTATGCCAATTTTTTTTTAGTGATGGGGACTTTATAAACTGTAAATAAGGCTGGATAATTTGATGTACATATTTTCTAATAGTGTGGCTGTTTTTATGTGCTGTTGTCTTGCCAAATATTTTTTATATACGTATTAATTTTAAAACTCCCATATTTTCTTGGCACATATAAAGACCTTTAATTTTTTATTGTTCTAAGTTTGGCACATTTTTGTTGATGCTTCGGAGCAGTTGTTGCCATATTTTTGTACTTTTGAAATCTTTGAGAAAAAATATATTGCATTTATTTTTATACAGTCTTTTATGCTATGTATCAGTATG